CGGGTTGTCCTTGACTGGGCTTGCGCTCCTGGAAAGGTCCAGACTGCAACAGACTGTCGGCCTTTGTGCTTCGAAGCTCCTCTCGCCATGTTGCTGTATCGGCTCTACCATGCCACGCAACCTGAAAGCTCCAATTTGCACGCTGGCGCTGGTGTTCGGGTTCCGGGCCAAGCCTTTAGCAGCCATGGCTACCTTTGAAACTTTGCCAAGGTGGAAGTTCGCAGTGCTTCATGCGCTGGGAACTCGCGTAGCGGAGAGGTGCTGGTGCTTCCGATTGCTTCGTCGTTGGAATGCTTCAGGGTTGCGAGTAGATTCTGCCGGGTGAGGCTCGCATCATGTGTTTGGTGTTCAGAAACTTGTCACTTGTCGATCCGAGCGGCCGCGCTTCAAGGCGTTCTGCCTATCAATTGCAAACATCTTGCGCCGCCTCACAAGAAGTGCTGAGTACAGCAGGCTCCCTTCGCTTCGCTGCAGGGGCAGCCCAACAGTGGCCATGACGTCCCTGCCCTGTACAGTTTCTTTTGCAGAAGCCCAGCGGAGCGGCGAAAATGCATCTGTACTGAAAAGGCCGCTGTGCGCACTTAGCACGACCTGTTCATGAGCTCTGCTCGCAATTCACTTCGGGGCTCTCACATGCTCAGGCGCCCTCGATGGCAGGTTTGGACTCCCTGTTGACAAATCTGTCCTCCATTCCGTCCTGATCATCATCAAAGCTAGCCGACTACTCACTCGGCAGAAGAGAACATAAGGTGGCGTCGGCGTCCTGTTTCAGCCTCAGCTCCTTGCGCCGGCCGAGGACACGGTAGCGGTTCTGCGGAGTGAAATTCGAAGACTGAAGAACCGAGAGAAGTGCTGTGATCATTGCAAGTCGTCCTTGGCAACCACGTTGTATGCCCCATCTCGTAGTGGTTTGGGCACTAGTGCCTGCGCAGCCTGGCGGTTTGGCCTACACAAACCTATTCGCTTGGACCCATTCTGCCAAAGCCAGGGAGACCTTGCTCAAGCCTTGCAGCACGCTGCTGCCTTCCAGCTGTTGCCCTACCTGCACCGAGCACTCAGCTATCCAAGGCCTAGGGGGCACATTGACTCTGCAGAATGTTGGCTCAGGCAGCGGCAAAGACAACAGCATCTGACTGAGAAAGACATTCACCATCGGGCTTCACAACCAGCATGGAGCTAAGATCCTGCATGCGGCACGTGCTTCTGGAGGCCCAAAAGAAAATCTGTCACAGAAGCTACATAAGTCTGCAAACGCCATGCGTGATGCCCCCACGAGCCATGCCCACAATGATTGTACAACATAGAGGGTCAGGTGAATCTTGACGACACATCTTAAGCCAATTTTCCTCGGCACGCCGGCCACAGAAGACCAGCAGCTGCTTTCCGACCTCTGACTGCAACGCAGAGAATCGCAGCCGGCGACCGTCAGGGTCCTGAATGTGCATAGCGAAAAACTTCGTTGCAGGAAACTAGAGGCGACATCAGAGACACATTTGCAAAGCATATACTCTTGTCGAATTAGCTACATCACGTCCTTCTGCAAAGCCACATCCACGGCGCTGTTGCACATGTTGCAAACGCCTCAGCACCGGGTCGTCAGAGCAAGTGAGCTAGAGAGACATTGACATCTGAGAGCAGGCACCGTCATACAGGACTATCGGTCGATCGTCATTGTAGAAAAGCTCGTTGAAGGCCGCTTTTGCCTTGGGCTAGTGCCACAGAGAGCCATGTGGAAAAACAGCCGAAGTTTATCAACCACTCTACAGTTCTCGATCGAATGCCACGGAACTCCCTCGGTCGAAGGGCCGGCAGAACGCTGCAGTAGGCTGGATCGAGTTGCCGGCAACATGCCGACGAAAGCCCTCCCGCAAAACATGATGCCGGCCAGGGCCACTGGGGCAATGCGTGGCTGCCTGGATCGCAGCATGGCTGCACGAGGATTCAGGGCTGGAAGCGGCAGCGAGGTGCTGAAGCTGCAGTCGGAACCAAGCATGCCAAAGCTGGTTCTGTTATGTTCTGGCAAGGGCGGCACGAACTTCGCAACTAAAAAGACTGAGGCACCTCGATATTGATCATACTGAGTCATACCGCGAGTTGAAACCGTTGCTGAGCCGAAGCTGATGCATACCCTGATGTGCTTTCAGCGTCTTTATTATGCCCTTCAGCGGAATCTGACCGCCGGAATCGCAAAACATCACATCCTGCGTGTGGCAACAGATCAATTGGAAGCATTTTGTCCTGCAGCTAGGGCAAACTGCCATAGTGCTTGAAATCAAGTCGTAGGTCTGGGAGTGTCCAGATCTAGACACGTTCCGACCCCAACATCGCTGCGGGAAGATGATGCAGTCAATCCACGTCGACAGAGCCTGGCAAGATGCTGGACACATGCTCTGCAGCCCAGCTCCGTGCGAGGCTCAACACACCGAACTCTGAGCACCTCTAACCCCCTCCACGCCGAAGAGCTTCGGGCAGTGCATTCCCTGAGAAGAGGCAAATCCGCTCGAAAGGACATCAAGACTCCGACTATTGCACCTGCACTCACGATCATTGAGACATTAAGATACCTGTGCGAACCCCGAAGAAACTCATCACGCCTTCTCAGGCATCTCAAACACGGCAGCTTCAACTGCTGCCTGTACAGCGAAGATGGCTCGCATTGCCACAAGTTGAGAGGACCGCTTCGTGTGAGTCTGGGCGGAGGACCGTTTCCTCATCGAGGAACTTGGCAATAGCCTGCAAAGAATTAGGATCCGAAGCCCCCGAAGCTTCGGCTTAGGACTTAGGACTTTCATGGACTTTCCCCTCCCAGGGCCTCAGAATTGTCCAGCTCCAGCCTGACGAGGGTTCGGATCTACGCGGGCTACGCGGCTTTGACGGCCGAGGTTGCCACAGAGAGACGAGGCAGCTCCGCTTCGCTTCAAAGTAAGCCTCCGGGCCGCTCCGAAGAAAAATTCAGCTTCCTTCTTCATGCTTGGTCCGCCTGGGCCTTTTCTTTGTACCACACCTTCACCTGCAGGAAAGCTCCCTTGCAGTTTCAATGGAAATTTCTACGTCTAAGAAGGTCGCCTTGGCGCTGAGGCTGAGGTATTTGAAGAGACTCTGCCGGTTCTGAGTACTTTCCAACCTTGCCGGCAAGACACATTGATATGGCAAAACGACACGCCTCCGTCACACGTCTCGGCGCCCAACCAGCTCATCATTCGCTCGGCAATGGTGAGAACTAGCTCCTGCAAACACAGGTTGTCGCAACCGCAACGGATTGACTGTGACGGTGGCTGTTGCTGGACTGGTGCGGCTAGCACGCGTCGTTTCCAAAGCATGTTCATGCTGCAGAAAAACACGTTGCTATCGCGGTGCATGTGCGTACAGCATCATGGAGAAGTCTGGCAGAGGAAGCAGAGTGTCGTCGTCCAAGGTAAACCGAAGATTTGACGGCAAGCTTTCGTCATCTTCCCGTCTCGGCAGGACCGGATCGCAACCAAAAACAACATGCCACAGAAATTCCTTGGCTGCTGACACAATGTCACAAGGTTGCGATGACACTTGAAACTCTGAGCCGCGAAGTACACAAAAGAAAATCAAGCCAGCACTGCTGCTTGCAGCCATGGTTCGTAGAGATGGCACGGGCGTATTTGAAAGGCTGATCTGTGTCCAGTGGGCTTTGGCGGCTTCAGGGGCCCAAGCTGAGGAATGCGTAAGCAGCCCTCCAGTGCGCTGAGCCTTTTGGTTAGGAGCTCTTGTGCTGCCTGGTAGAATTCCAAACTCCGCGCCAAAATCCTACTTTTGTGCACAAGGAACTGCGAACAGCAGTAGGATGCAAAGAGCTGGCTGGAGGGCAGCCCCAGCAAATCTGTGATCTGTGCCAAGCATGGGGTCCAGTACATTAAATGTCGATCGTTGTTCAGGTGCAGGAAGAGCCGGGGGGCTAATGCTGACAAGGTGCCGGACGAGATCATTTTCAGGACTAGGTTGAGGTATCCTAGATGCAAGTGGCGAGGTGCATCATCTTGCAAAAAGATGGTCCACTCCGCAAGTTCATGATAATGACGAAGTATATGGTACACATATCCGCCGCACTCGTCGCTGTGCACTGCACCTTCGGCAGGGTCCTGCACATCTATATGCCAAGCCGGTATGCAATCCGATCTTTGGCATAAAGGGCTTTCAGCTGCTTCTTTACATTTCGCGATCATCAAGATACGCAGACTGGGCATTAAAGGAAGGGCATCCACCCATGTTAGGTCGCTCCTGCACGCAACAATGACTAAGTCCACACGCTTTGTCTCAGCTGAAGTTTCACGCCCACTCATGCGTCGCACCTGAAGTGAATGAGCATTTGCTGCCGACACAGGCCAGGTCCGCATCGTAACTCGGTAGTGGTCCAGCTCGTACGTATCATTCCCGGCTTTCATCTGTCGCAAGACACGGAGGGCACGGCCTCTGTAGTGTTGCCCGAGAAGGTCGTGAGAGTTCAGACTGAACCGGAGTTCAGCATGAAGGAAAAGCGATGTGACCAACATGCCAGGGCAAACTTGCAGCATTTCCTCCTGCTCCATCTCGGTTAAGGATGTGATCCACATAACTTCTTCAATTGGCGGCGCATGGCTTTGCCTTGGTACGCCAGTGTAGAAACTGAGAAACTTCTCCTGCAGCTCGTGCGCCAAAACCAAGGCTTGAAAGCACTGCATGCCTGTCAACAACTGATCTTCCGGCGAGTTCAATGCCTTCTTGCTTGTAACATTGCTGTAGCGATTACCCCTTTGCCAGGAGCCATCGACACTGCCCGGACACAGCGTGATTTGTGCACGAAAGTTCCACAAACAGCCCAGGTAGTGCTCCTTCGAAACGTATCCGTGCTGCCCGCTGGCGGACTGAAAAGGGAGCGATGCGTGGGCGGCGAGCCGCAGTAAAAAGCAAAGAACAGTAGTCTTCAGCAACACCCGCCAGCACATTCAACGTGATGGCAGCTGTGGTGCCTGGCATGTTCGGCACTGCCCTTCCCGAGCATGTAACATCGATTTGGAATAACGAGCTGTCGATGCATCCGGGATCACACACGCATGCACCGCATGTCCAAACTTGTTCAGTACGGCTCAGCTTGGACTTGTCCCGATCTGCAAGCCGACTTCTACAATGTCTTAAACAAATATGGAAACCTACGAACACGCGACAACGCATCTGAACAGGTTCCCCCGGCAACAACCCGATCCATCTTCGCCTAAAGCATGTACCCAAACTCACCGGATTTTCCCAGCCCACTATAGCATCCGGCTTCCAACGAATAGATTTAGGTGTAATGCCTCGGCTCTATGAGATGAGAAGGTAGGAGAATCCACACGGTTGGTTCTAAACATCATGGAATCATGGCATATCATGGCCCTACATTTTTTGGCAGGAACTTTTCGGCCCGAGCTTCCAGAAATCTAGCTGAACTCTCCAATCACGCTTCTGCTTTGTCTGTGTATACTGCTTATACTAGTTCCCATCTTCACATGTATACATATATATGTATATATGTATGTATGTATCAATATGTCATCTGATCTTCTAAGGCTCCAAAATCCCTCCCCCAACAACCCTTCCCAAGCACGTTGGTCAGTTCAACGCTTTTCTGGCTGCAGCGAGGTGAAAGCCCAAAACAGGAAATCGCTGTTACGGATCAGTACAGTTCTGCCTCAAAGTCCTCTCCGAACCCCAACCAAAGCAAAACATCTCAGGCTGCCCACCTCGTCTAGATTCTCAAGGGGCTCGATGCTCCTGCCGTATGCAGAACGTTTACGGAATTCTTACAAATATCGAGCCCGCGATAGTCTCTCAAGTGGGCCGGCTCGACCCCTGCTTCAGGAGGTCTTGGTCTTCCTCTTCCCTTTTCCGGCGCTCGGACTCTTTGGCCCTGGGACCGAATTCCGAGATCTGTAGCATCACGCACAGGTAGAGAAGACCAAGCTAATTATGCAACTAAGTGAGACTTTTGCCGTAGTTCAAAGCAGATCAGCCCATGTAACAACTACGTGCAGGCACGGGCAGGGTGCAGATTGAGTCTGACATACGCGCATGAATATGCGTACATGCAGTGCAAACGCATGATGCCAGTTGAGGCTTGATTCATTCAGCAGTTTTTTGCTGCTGGCCGAATAATATGAGCGACCGTGCTTCTGCATGAACAAATACATGCATGCATAGGTGCAAATATGCTCGCTTCACGAACGACGAAACCTGAGCGCTCTTGTGGTCTTGACCGCTGTTTCAGAGTTACGGAGGGTGGACCAGCATCAGATGGTACAGCAGTTGACTATGCAGTGTTCATAGGTTCCGAGCAAACTGCCTCGGCCGGCATGACCGCTGCCAGTCTTGGATTCTGGACACCGGTAGCCTCTTCAACAAAGCGGCCATCCCTTCATAGGAGAGCGGGGGGGAGAATAAAGGAGATCAGGCGTCGGCATGATCACTGGTCCAGTGCATGCCGGCTCCCCGGTTTGGGTCATACAGCAGTTATGCTCATGGCTTGTCACCTCAAAGCCAGCATCGTGAGCATCAAGGGCTCAAGTTTCGCACAAGAAAGCCATTATCATGCGCATCATGCCCCCACCGTGTCTCAGCAAAAACCTTGGAAGCATAGCCCTTAGCATCGCCTCTGCGCCCTGCCCTTTCAAAGACAAGTTTGAGGAAGGAGCTTTCGTCACATTCCAATCAATTCCACTGTCTGCACTATTCTCCCTGAAACTGTGCAGCATGCTGTGCCAGGCATTGACTGTATGTACTATCTGAGACTATCTGCTAGATCGTGTTCGGTCTACCCGACTAGTCTGCACATAGGGTCCGGTATGGTAGGTACATCGAAAGAGGACGTGGCATGATCGCGAGAAGCCCAGAGATCCAATTGGGTGGCTTGCTCGTAGGATAATCTCTGCGCTTCTTCGAGCTCTGCTTTCGCCTGCGTCGCAAAAGACAGGGCATGAAAGGTGTGCAGCGTGGTTGATGCTCTCGGGCGGATGTTTGGGATTGCACGGGGCGTATCTCAGCATGCTTGGCTTTTTGAAGAACACTGCACAGCATGCGCAGAACTGTCCGGTCATACTGATCTTCAGATCAATTCGGGCGAACAGGGCTGTGGATGTGAGCCTGATCTTCCTACAGCAATCTAGCTGTGAAGTCGGCACAAAATTTTGGTGAGACAGGAACAAGCTCTCTCGGGTCATTTCCAATCCCTGCTGACGAGTGCAGCGGGCTTCGAATTATGCCACTTTCAAGCTTGCTCACATTCCTGTAATGCCTGCCAGGCTCTTGCAACGGCAACGGTAGTAGCAGCAGTAAGTCATAACGGCAAAGAGAAGAGGATCAGTGGTCTTTCTGCCCTTGGAGAGGACGCGGAACTTCCGAGGACGACATTGAGCCCAAGACCATATGGCAACGAGCTACATCTCCGGGTGCACGTGGACTTCACCTGGCAGGATGCAATAACTTAAGTGAAATAAAGCAGATGCACAAGCAATGAACCCCACATACACGCCTGTATGAATGCTTTCAGCATGCGTTTGTGGAGGGATTGTAAATTGTAACAGGAGTGTTTGAGTAGCCACGAGTCAGGTCGATGAATGCATGCCATCACATACACATGAACAGACATACACATCTACATGTTTACACGCGCGTGCATGTGCATTTTGCGATTTTGCTGCCCGAGTATTTAATCTTGTGGTTGTGTATGAACATATATACACAGAACTACCGTACAACATAGAGGTATTGTAGCGTCACACATTGTCACGCTCTGACATGTGGCACTGTGTGCGAACGTGGGCAAGCACTGAGTCTGCAAGCACAACTCACAAGGTTCAGAGAATTACCAGCCTGCACGCAGTCGTTTTGGCTGCTGTTGGAGGAGCCTCCGCGATACGGACCCATGCCAGAACACCAATTACAAGCAATGCCGACGATGGATGCTGCAAAGCCTTGAGCTTGCTGTCCGCATCTGTCACGAACATGCGCTGCCTCAGCAGCAGAGCATTGTATACGGCGGTAACTCTAATTCATGACCGGAGCAATCCAAAACTCGTTCACTGGTGCGAAGCACACCCCTTTGCATACGAAGCCAAAGTAAGAACCGTGCATGAGCAGGGTGTTCAGAAGGCAGGGCAGCCTTTCCTCCTCCAAACCTCCTGTGCCAGCTCCCATCTCAAGCAGATAGGAGCAGACTTCACGCTTGCCTGCATTCGCGGCAACCACCAAGGGCGTTTCGTCATCTGCATTGCGCATGTTGATATCTGCACCGTGAGCGACGAGGAGGGTTGCGATTTGCAAGTGTCCAGCCCGGGAAGCCATGTGAAGTGGAGTCTCGTCCCACGCCTCTTGGGCATTCGGATTAGAACCGCACTTCAGCAAGCTCTTGACCTCCTCTAGCAAGCCTGCATGTGCTGCCACATGGAGCTTTGTGCAGCCGAAGGCATCAGTGCTTTCCACTGGAACCTGGGGCTGACCTGGACTGAGGTCCTTTCGAGCAATGGCGTGCAGGATGGTGCGCACTCGGCAGGAGATCCTGAAGCAGGCGAAGGCCACGAGCACCACGAGCAGATCTGGCACTGGAGTTGGCAGCTCGGTGAGGCTGGGAATCCTGAAGCTCTGGGAGCAGGAGAGATCGATCTCTGCGGGAGGGTTTTCGCCTTGCAGCTGATCTTCCAAGCCAGTCTCCTCTTGCAGCAGCCATTCGTCCGAAGCTTCTTGCAGCAATGGCAGTGCCACTGGCGCTGGGGTCTTCAGCCCATTGTGACGGGTAGACTTGTCAGCGGTTGTGAACTGAGTGACGGCCACCAGCGAAAACAGGAATGCCAGGAAGATCGCCATGAAAAGCGAGTGCAGTGTTTTTCACTCGCTGTCGTCTACTCTTCAAAGGTAGACGCAAGAGCCAGCCGAAGCACAAGAACTGCTGAGGGGCTGCAGCCAATCCTCGGCTTCGCCGGCAGAATTTACGAAGGGAGTGCACGGTAAGCAGAAGGGTGTCTGCTTGAATACGCCCCAATCACTTGCTCAGAGCCGAAATCCAGCAACGTCACGGAATCCCAAGCTAAGGCAGGAGGTTGGGCTACCTCTGGGCTGAGAGCGAGATTGAGCGGAAGTCACCTTGGATTGGGCTAGACTCCTAGACGGCCAGATACGGCTTTCGCCTGTAGCGACAGCTCCTCACTCTCGGCTTCGTTGGGAAGGCTTTGCGCTTCAGACCTGACCCCAATAGAAAAGAATAAAGACACGAGACTTTGCATACTTTGCAAAGCCAGCCGACAGTGTGCAAAGAGCCAGACACGACTAAGCTGAGCACTGTTCCTGCTGGGCTTTGAACATCTGTGGCAAGCCCTTCGCGGATGATGCAGACGCGTGCACCTGCTTCTGTGGCGCAGCAGTGGTTGCAAGGTCTCCAGACAGATGCCATGTGTCTTGCCTTGTCAGCTGGGATCTGCTGATTCGACTCCTCGTCCGACTCCTGCCGTCGCTTTTTGCATGCAGCGCTACTGGAGACCTGCAGGCATCCAATCACACCTCTTCCTTCACGGAAGTGAAACCAAATTGAAGTCGAAGGACGATTTCCTCGCAGGACAAATTTTCGAGCTGCGCGGACGATTGCTGAACCTCACACTGCATCACACCCGGATACTTCATCCCCCCATTTACGTGGTTTCGCAGGCGATGCACTTGGTTCGACACTTGCGGTCTTCAGCAAGGCCCGACTATGTAGGGGAAGGCATGTCCAAAACACGTAGCAGCCCAACCGTCACCAGAACTTCACAGCCTGCGCAGTTGCATGCCACGAGAGGTTCAAATCCCACTGCCCGAGGGGAGCACAGAGGGAGTCAGTCCGTCAAGATCTGCTCGCCCCGCCGACAAGGTATATTTGTAGCAGATGCCATCTTTCACCACCACCCGAACGTGATTGCGTTTGAGGCAGGTGATGTCGTCCAGCGGGTTGCCGTCCACTATGATGATGTCTGCATATGCTCCTTTGGCGACTATGCCTAGAGGACCATCCTTGTAAGGGTTCATGCCCCCACTCCATGCCAGGACCTTCCCTGCATCCCCAGTGGCACTTCGCAGGGCTTGGGCTGCAGAAAAACCGCCCAGGGTTACGAGGGTGATCACGTTGTCCGCCTGCCGGTGCTGGGCAGAGGCACCAAACATGTCGCCACCCGAGATTGTCAGCGGCTTGTACTTTCGCACAAACTCCATCATCTGCTTTGCCCCCGAAGCCACTTTGGCCGCCTTCTTCTTTTGATCTTTTGAAAAGAAAGTAATCTTCTCAGGCTCAGCAAAAGCTTCCAGAGACATGCATGACTGGAGGCACATCGCAGCACCTTCGTCGGCGATGCGCTTCATCGTGGACTCAGACATGAGGAAGCCATGCTCGATGCAGCGAACACCGGCATCAAGGCATCTGATGATTGAATCGTCGTGGTAGGCATGAGCCATAACATATGTGCCGTAGTCCCGGGCTACATCAACGGCAGCACGCATCTCATCTTCTGTAAACTGTGTCACATGGATGGGGTCAAAGGCACTGGCGCAGCCTCCACCGGCCATGATTTTCAACTGTGTGGCTCCGTTTCGCAAGTTGTTTCGGGCAGCCTTTAGCATTTCGGGACGTCCATCAACAATGTGGGAGAAGCCGAAACGCTCCAGCGTGTCAGCATCGCCAGGCTGGTCAAAGCAGCAGCCAGTGTCGCCATGCCCGCCTGTTTGACTCAGGAAAGCCCCACAGGCAAAAATGCGAGGACCCGGGATCCGACCGGCATTGATGGCCCTGGCCATACCCAGCACATTTCCACCGGCATCACGGCATGTAGTGAAACCTTGAAGCAAATAGTCGATACAGTCCTGCCCACACATAGCACCCATGGCCATTTGATCAAACTGATCACGGCCCTCAAGCATCCCTTCTTGTATTGCCAGGTGACTGTGCATATCAATCAACCCAGGCATTAGAGTATGGTCGGTGCAGTCAACGCTGACTGCGCCCCAGTTTTCAGCACTGATTCCTTCTCCGATGTCTTGGATCAGGTTCCCAACCACTAATACATCTTGAGGCTGAGTTAGCCCCTCTGAGCTGCCGTCATAAATCCGGGCATTCTTAAACAGAATCGGCTTTTTGCGCTTCTCCGGCCGGAAGGCCGGGAAGAACTCAGGCATGGCTGTGAAGGCTTACAGCTCTGCTGTACTGGTCTGAGCTTGGGAGACCTGTATACAGCTGCCAGGCACAAGGCAAGACCGTGGCAAGGCAAGGCCTCCCTCGAACTTGGCCGGGATCCGAACATCTTCACCTTCCGCCTCGTCGTCCTGGACAGTCGGGAATGAGATCCGATTCTTCGGGTGAGGATCCTGGGGTCTTGGTCCTTGAGTGCCTTACTCTTATCAGAACATGGTCCAGCAGTTCCTCCAATCTGGTCACGCAGTCGCGAGAGTCCTGCGCACACAAGGACTGTTAACAGAGCCAAAAGCAAGGAGGTGTGTTTCTGGGTGAAATCAACGGCGTGCCGCTTGCCCCTTTAGCTGGCTCCAAATTCAATTGCTGTGATTTTCACCATTTGCGGTTGTGAATGTTGCTCTCTGGCTCCGAGTGCTCCGATTTGCGGCCTGTCCCGGCGGTTCTCGGGCAGCAGCAGCTGTAACTTGCAGCATACACAATGGTCTGTCGGCTGCGGCTTGGAAGACATGCTGGCTATTCATTGCTTCTGGTTTAATAATCGTATTATCACACTCCAAGATACTCGCAAAGGAAAGACGAGCACCGCAGGTCTGGCGGACCAAGCGACCACAGGACCAGGCCGACATTGCCACCGTTACCAAAACGACACACAAGGACCTCTGAAAGGCAACACACAAAAGACACCGAGGCATGAAGCGCCATCCAAGATGTCCACGGCCTTTTTCCTTGGCGCTGGCTCTGTCAATCTTAAGCATCCCAGAACTGCCTCCATAAGGAGCCTTGCGTAGCTTCGGCGTTAGGGTCCACAACAGGATCGCCCTGCTTGACATCCGGTATGAAATGAAAGAGGGCCACCACCGTGATGATAGGCATCATGGAAGCAAGCAGCGAAGCCTTCCAAAGGTTGTCAAACTGAGCAGATTCGCCGACTGACCCTGTCGGATTGACGTCCAAGATTTCCAGAAGGAGGGCTCCCCAACAGCTGGCAATCGTGTTGCCCAAATTGTGGCACCCGGCCAGGAGAGCATACATTGTGGCCTCCATGCCCCGCGGGCAGAAATAGGAAAGGATGATAACTTGAGGCATCCACTGCCACTGCATAAGGACGTTCTGCATGCAGCTGGTACCTGAGATATACTACAGCATCAACTCACCCCTACTTATGAAACTCGACCTAATTACAGTTCGCCCCTGATTCTAAGGTTTCAACCCATCCCTCTCCCTGCCCTTCTGATGTATGAAGATTTACAACTTCGGGTGCGCATGCAGTCAGGAGTCCCAGCACAAAAGCATGGTCCGGGATGCCCATGCTAACGTTCAAGCGCTTGAACCTGGGTTGTGAAGTGAGCTATAACTCTCCGTCTCTCATCCCTTGAAGGGTCTGGGGCATCCGGGTAGCAAGACAGTGTCCAGGGCGTTCATGAAGCAGAAGGCAATGTTGGTGACAAGCAGCAGGTTCCTGAGCTGCCAGACGCACATCATTTCAAGCTTCACGACATGGGTGCCTCAGGCTGGCTACATAGAGGTAGTGCCAAGCATCCTGTACCGGTAGGTGCTGAAATAGCGCTGGAATGTCGCGACGCCCACCTTAAGGGTCAGGTCGCCATTGCAGTCTAGACTGGCTGCCACATCACTTGCTTTGCTTCGGGTTCAGACGTTGCCCAGCACAGCGCAGCAAGTGTTTGAAGAGCCCACTAGTATTTGGACTAGAGCTTTGGCTGACGCTCACGGCCAAGTCGCCAGGGACATGAGTGCTCCGACCTCGGCTGTAGACGACGGTCGAGGCTCTTTGGGAGCCGGGTTGCTTCTCGAGGACTGAATCGAACAAGGCAAGCAGCTGTTCCAATCACCGAGTTGTAGTACAAAGGCGAGAAATGAGGGCCCTGCAACGTCAAATGCAAGCCCTTCTGTCCTCGACTACTGGCTTTGGCAGCCTCTTTGTATTGCTCTTCAGTATCGGTCATGAAGTAGAATGCTGCGCCACCTCGGCAGCCAAGCACATGTGCAGATATGTGCAGATGCGCTCGCGTCTTGTTTGAGCGACGCTTCTCTGCCTGGCTGTTGGCATCTAAGGTGCTCGTCGATAATGATAACGACGTCTGCAACAGCGACCACAAGTTGAACCTGGCTATTGCCGGGGAGAGAAATACCTTGCAGCAAACAGGTATGGCGCTAGAGTGCTGCGGATGTCCACTGAGAGTGTTGAAGCTTAATGGCTTAATGGTCTCGGGCCGAGGGACGCTAAAGAAGAAGCCCACCACAAAGAAAGCGATGGTGGCGGCGATCGCGTTGACACGCGTGCTTGAAGAAATCAGCCCACAAGCAGTCAAACCTATGCAAACCACGCAGATCAACCTCAGTCTATTCGACTCAGGGGTGCCTGGCATAATCACTGGTGGCAAGAGAGGCTCGACATGCCGCCAAGATGCAAACTCAAAAAGCAGGCCTCCCTCTGCCTTGAAATCCAGACCGACGAGACAAAGATGCAGCTCCAGATGCAGCTGCCGCAGCCTCTCTGGATACTAACCAGAGCAGCCCAGTTACGCATAGAATTTCTTCCTTCTTTCGGCCTTCCACGGTGTAGAGTTGAGGGCATAGCGCGGATTGGTAGAAGACAAGTCATCTTCGTAGTGTGCACTCGCAGCATCACAGGGGCTATGCGTGCTGCAAGAGAGGAGCCGTTTCTTCTGATCGCACCATCTTTTCTTCAAGACAGCCATAAAACAAAGGGATCAGCACCTGGCACTGGAATGATCGGATAGTCTCTGGATTGTGGCCCTCCGAGGCCGCGGCCATTGCGGCTGGCAGGGCCTCAGCTTGAGCAGGCAACAACGCATCCCAGTCATCTGAGTCACTGCACACTGCCCTCCCGTCTGAGAACTCCGCAGAGATCAGGAAAGGCAGCTTTGGCGATGCGTTGGCGAGGAGGAGGCCGGACAATAAGACGCCCAGCACAGACCTCGGAATCAGGTCGCCCAACATCCAAAAAACGGCTGTGTCAGCATCTGCTTAGGTTCTTGCAGGGTTTTGGGACATGTAGCCCCTCAGGCTTCCGGCTCCAGGGTTCATGAGAGCTTCATGTGACCAAGCGGCCCCGCGTTCATACCAAACCATACGAAGCCTGCGCACATCGTAGCTGCAAAGGGCTGTCCGTTGGCCCGTTCAACAGATGGCTGGGAGACAAGACGGTATGCAACCAGAGGGCTCAGCACATGCGATCCGAAGGCTGGGACTTCCTGTATCTGCTGCGCATATCTTGCCTCAGCCAATGCAACACCCAGCTGCGGCTTTAGTTGCAAGCAGGTCTCACAAGTCAAGCCGGAAAGATGCCGGGCAGCTTCAGCCAGGATATCGCACACCGACAACTGCGACTGCTGCAGGAAGATACAAACCACCAGCCTCGGCAATGCGAGAAACAGTTCGACGCGCGACACAAGTGACTACCCATGGCCACAAAACTACATTTTAGCCAGAATGCTTCATGCTCAATGCTCTGTGTTCAGTTACTACAAGCTTCTCAATTACAGTACAAGTCTACGGCTGTCCCGCTGCCCTTCCATTCAATGCTCCTGTCAACTTCGGTAGAAGCCTAAAGTCACAATCCAAGTTTGCTGAGCGTACATCCTGCTACCTTTTGAGATGTCACCCTCTCTCACCCACGTGAATTCAGCAGGGAAGCAGAGACACCGGAAGCATGCTGTGCGGCACAGCGCCCACAGCGAGGAAGGCAGCACTGCCAACGAAAACCGCTCCGATCATGTACGGGGCCTTGTGGTAGCCACCTGAGTTCGCTGCGCAAGGCAGCCCCGGAGCCAAGTCCTCTTGCCAGGACAAGCTTCAGGGACGCACAGAAGGACAGAACCGCTAGCTACTCGCAGAGTCGTAGATCATGATTGCATTAGGCCTTCTAAGTCAAGTATGCCCCTTGGGGCCAGCATGACCAGGATCGAGTATCCCACCGGCCCTGTACTCGAGCTCCGCACTGGGAAGTTGCCCCCACAAGTGCAACGTCGAGGCACATATGGGCATCACGTCGCTGATGAGGCCCACCACCGGCTTCAAAGCCCAAGGGAGCTTCGAGATGCCTGGCGGAGAAGCAGACCATGAGAAGGAAAAGGGCGTGGCATCAAAAACGAGGTGTTGCAATGGTGCTGTTGTCACTTCACGCGGCTCTGGCTGAATTTCTTTAAATGTAGATCATCACGGACCTGAGTAGATTTGAACTCGCGGAGCAGGCACGGCATACCTTTCGGGCGAAAGAGCAATCATCTAATTATACGATGGTGGGCGAGACCCCTCAAAGTCTGTTCCAACTGACTTTGCTGGCAAGCTTCGTCTTGTACACGTACGACTCCTTGGAGTTGCCATTCGGGATAGTGCAACTGCTAACTGCGTTAACAAAAAGGAGCACGACATGGAGATTGATCAAACAGCCAAGCTGCCGCTTGACCAGAGAAGTCGGCCACAAATCCTCTATTGACCTCATGGGCAGGTACTCTACGACAGCAACAATCGCTACAGCACAGTTTTGTCATTAAAGCCCAGCGGCATGCTCCACAACAAAAAGCAGGAAAAGGAGTTTGTAGCCAATGGCTCCTGATGATACGAGAATTCGGCCGATTCCGAAGCATCGCGGACACTTGTTGCTTCGATGGCATGGCAGCACACTTACCACTTGCGTTCTGTCAGCCTGCCAAGTCATCGAGGAACTCTGCGGCACCGCAAGTCCAAGAGCATTCGCCTGCAGCAAATGGGACTTCTGACCATCCTTAAGGCTAGTGCGGGCAAGCAGATGCAAAGTCTGCAGCAAATCGTGCGATGAAGTCACGCCGCTGTTTGCCACCCAGCAGTGTCACCTTCTCATCACCATTTTCGAGGCTGTCATCCTTCTTGGCCGCACCATCCATGAAACGTCGCGAGAGCGCGATCCGATGAGATTACCGGATGGGTAGTCCGCAGACTAAGATGTCCGTAAAGTTCGCATGCGAACCGGCGAACCATGAGCCATCTGGCTGCAGTTACGAGATCCATCATGCCTGTCTTCTCATAGAGGTCTAGCGGGAAGGAAGCTTGGGGAAGTCAGTAGCTCAGAAAGATCAGGTCCTGCGCTTCATCTGCAGGCGCATGGTTCAACGCACCTGGCTGAATTTTATCGGATGCTTTTCATAGCCAGGAGCTCAAGGCCTGCTGCAGACGGAGCTCCGTCCTGCCCACCGCACGACTCCGGCAAAGATCAAAGAGTTGAAACGCCCAGGACACATTAATAGCTCAGTGTAACGTAGTACTTAGTAATATGAAACCAAGGCAAACGAAAGCTCTCATGGTGGAGCACATTCAACCTCGGACCTGCTGAGACATCTGCGTGAAGGCTACGACCGACAATGCTATAGAGTCCAGGCTAAGGCCTCCCGAGCTCTTAGCTCACCCTTTGGACGGTCATGACAGATCCCACTGCAGGCTAAATAAACACTTCACGCACACACAGCATTGCTGGATATGTCAGAACACGACCATTAGGGCAGTGGTCTGGAGTTACCGAATACCAGCTGAAATCATGCTGACAGGCACAAGCGCCTCAAGCTGATTCACTCGCTCAACTTTGTCATCCAGTGTCCTCTTCTCCTCCTTCTGCACTTTGTTGTGCTTGCTGTTGCTGCCTCAGGACGTCACCGACATTTGTGTCGTCACGGTCGTAGATCTTCGAATCTCCGCAGCTGAGGAGCTGCTTTCGGTCGGCTAGATGCAGGTCCTGCTCCTCCGCACTGCACGGTTCTGTTGTTGACTAAGGATCGATGCTTAGCACAGATTTCCGGTGCTGTATCTGGAGGGCGGCACCTCGGATTCGTCGGGGACGGTGGAGGCGACATCCTGTGACAGGGTGATTGGCAGGAGAATGATGGGTCCCCATGCAAGCAGCACTCGACGACCAACTCTGGCATCTTGTCTGGCTGTCCCCAACTTGTAGCTGGAACTCGCGTGCGCATCCCACTTTCAGGCATTTCGGGGGGTTGCACGCCTCGTCCGGGCAGTCCGCAGCCTTTTTGAACACTTGCACACTCTCGGCCTTGACCAGGGCACGAAGTTCCCTTAAAGCGTCTCGGCTCTCGGCCGCTTTGGGGGCCAGACCACCTGTGTAACGACGTCTTGGTATTGGACTTCGACGTCGCCGACTTCGCCGACCTCCGTCTTTGCCTTCTTGCGCGGTCTGATTACCCTTCTACAGCATGTCACAAATCATGTCCATGGCGGGACCTCAATTCGGTTAGCATTGAAGTCGGATTTGTTGATCGTGGTGTAGTCATTGCAGATCATTGCAGCTGATGTGTAAGATCATTGTCGGCATCTTCCAGTAGAGTCAACTGCTGAAACGTGGGACGCCTTGGCGAACTATTGAGTCGATGGCGGTGTTTCCTAGGTCAGTATCCCAGCGAAGCCTTCGAATGCTGCAGGATGCTGCAGGGTATTGGCTCTTCGTGTCGAACCGCATTGGAGTCCAGTGTCTTTGGCTATTCTCCGACGTGTCGCGCCAATTTTGTACAAACAGTCTTCCTCTTGGTACGGAAGTTGCTAGGGACTGCATGGAACGGCGGAGCTGCTCTCAGCTGGGCCCTGTTTGCGATTCTAGACGTGGTTTCGAGAGTACTTGTTGGGAAAGGCCTACGTGAGAACAGCGGTCGTCTTTCCAAATTCGATATGCAAGTTGGTGCGTTTGTGTAGCCGCAATTTACGCCTTATGGATGTGCATGGTGACGACCTTCGCGTGTCTGTCTTGTTCGTGGAAGTCGTCTGATGGTCTGGGCAATTCGGCGAGTGAAAACCAACTTGGAAACAGGTTCATGCGAGATTCTCTGTAGGTTCCATGCATGTGTCTTCAGAATGCCGATGGTTCATTTTCAACCACGCCGACCCACGGGCTGCTATGAGCTTGATCATGTTCCACTCAAGCCTCGAAGTGCAAGGTGCCATGTAAGCAGTTCCGTACGTGCATCACTAGCAACGAATGCATGACTAGATCCCTTCCCACACGAACGAAATTTGAAATGAACCGTTAGAGAGCAACAGGACGAGTCCCGAAATGAGAATAAATGCGAAGTGAAGCCTCCTGAAGTCCGCCAAGAAGAGGACCCGAGGACTACAGCCGAACGTAGATAGAGGAGTAGCCCTTGTTGCCAATAGGATCCAGAAACGTAGCAACCTAGATCGAGGAGTAGCGATTCTTGCTAAAGAATCCGGTAAAGTAGCAACCCATGAATGAGTAGATCGCTCCCCACACGAACGTAGATCCTGAAATAAGTCGTTAGAGAGATGAAAGGGAATTCGTTGAGGCACAACTACAACTCATAGCTTGTTCCAGCCCTTGCGAAAGACGAACCTACCTCTCTGCTATGTCGCTCACAGTATTTCTGCAATGTTCGTCAATCTCGAACCGATGCATTTTGGAAGGTTTTGGAAGGTGTTTGTTGTTTGTGTTCTCGCGTGTTTCGGGTTGGGTTCCCGCATTCCCGAGCTGCTTCTTGGGCCGATGTGGATACCCAGACACCTTGTGCAGAGTTGATGAACGAGATCAGTGAAGCGTTTTCTAATCTAGGTTCGTCGCATCGCAGAAAGGAGTCGCACAGTTTCAGCTCGTCATTCGTAGTCGAAGCGAGAGGGCGGCTTGAGGGCAACATGAACAATACTGGTGTCATAATGCTCATGAACATGCTCGTGCACATGATTGGCATGACACAGAAGCAACTTGTAGCTGGAACTCGCGTGCGCATCCCACTTTCAGGCATTTCGGGGGGTTGCACGCCTCGTCCGGGCAGTCCGCAGCCTTTTTGAACACTTGCACACTCTCGGCCTTGACCAGGGCACGAAGTTCCCTTAAAGCGTCTCGGCTCTCGGCCGCTTTGGGGGCCAGACCACCTGTGTAACGACGTCTTGGTATTGGACTTCGACGTCGCCGACTTCGCCGACCTCCGTCTTTGCCTTCTTGCGCGGTGAGAGGAGCGCTTCTGCTGGTCTTTTCCACAGAGGCGAAGCAGGTTGACGACGGTCAGATGCACCTGCGTCGAGCATGATTCTTGCTCAGACTGTACGCCCATGCAGGCCAGCGTAACAGTGTAAATCAGTGCTTCGCAAAGCAATGGAATGAATGTTTTTTTGGGCAGTAGCCTAGTTTGGTTCAGGTTCGTGAGCGAAGTCGCAGGGTGACGGTGAAACAGCATCATAATCACAACAGAGTTCCGGTGGCACGCCTGAGCCTGAGGAGATTTCCCGTGGTGGAAGGACAGAGCGTGCCACCTAAGCGCACCGCCAAGGGGCAACTACATTGTGAAAGCTCAGAACAAGCGCCACCTCATCCATGTTGGGGTTGTTCGCCACTAACCTGGGTTCGCGTGGAAACCCTGTCACGGGCCTGCTATCCTTTTAAAACCTTACCTTTTTTCTCCTTATCGTTCTACAAGCCCAAAAACCCACTCACAAGAACTCCACAGGGCAATCCTCAAGGCCAGGCACAACAGCAGTTTGGTTTTGAGGAATGCACCACAGGATCTTGCTGGAAACACTGTGGTAAACACAATAGCGGCTGGGTAGCCCAGACAGGCTGCAGGAAAGCACTACAGGATCTCGTTGGAGCATTGCAAATACGCTCCAAACACTGTATTACGCACACTGGCAGCTTGGCAGCCTACACAGATGTGAGGAAAGCACGACACGATCTCAAAACGGAGTAGTAAATACGTTCCAAGCATTGTTACGCGGGCTACTTCGGGACGGAAGGACTGAAGGGACCCGCAGGCTGCAGGAGCCACGGCAACTCAGGAGCGCAGGGGACTGCAAACAGGGCTCACATGAACAGAGGACTGCAGGGACTGCAAGGGACTGCAATTTGCACGAGCACCGGACACATAAGACTGCACACAGGACTGTAGGGACCGCAGAGGCAATTCTTGAACAAGTACCTTTTGCATGGATCTGACCATTGGGAAAAACAGCTTGGCCAGTCCTTCAGAAGAGCATTGGCTGTTTTACCATCCACTGGGCGAGGCAATATTACTGTTGCTATCCAATAGCACTGGCTTTATACAAAAGTTACAAACATGGTCAACTGGTCACAAAGTACGAAAACTGTTCTGCAACCTCGTCGTTTGGGTTATCGTTTACGTTATCGTTTAAAACCCCATTCCACAGACCGACTTTCAGGTCAGCATCGAAGCCTAATGCTCCATTTTGGCATCTTTCAAGAGTTGGTGCTTTTCGGACGTCTGCTACTTCACTCGGGGCTTCGGTTCGGTTCGCGAAAGCTCTTTCTCATGTGTGGCCGCACATAGAACCTGCACGCCCCAAGACTCAGTCCCAAGTCTAAGAAGCCCTGGAAGAATTGTTGTTGTTTTTTTTTTCCGACGTCTGCTGCTTTTCGGCTTGGCGAGTACTCTTTCGTTTTGGTCTTTGCCGGGCTGCTTCCCTACATATACGCGCTGTGTCCACACTTGGAACCTGCACGCGCAAAGACTCTTCAGACGTCTGCTACTTTCAATTCGGGTCTCGGCTTGGCGAAGACTCTTTCTCGTGGAGTTTCCCTAGGGCTGCATCGGTCGGACTACCAACCCTGTGGCCGCACTTGGCACCTGCAGGCCCAAACCGTGAATACTCATGTTATCGGACTCGAATGAAAGACCCGAATCTTATCGTTTTTTACTTATCGTTTTACACATCAGACTCTTCCCGGCCACTTGAAAGTGCCGTTTTGTCTAAAACGCCGACAGCGGGATTTTTACTCAACCCCACCTGTTGAGCAGATTGCTGCTCTTGGCAGGCGCGCTGCCTGCGGCTGCTCAGCAAGTCAGTAGTCCAAGGGTGCAAGAGTCTGCACCTGCGGTAGGCGGACGAAGCTGCATGGCCGGATCCTCAGACTGACGTAAGTCCCTGTGGGACCCTCCCGGTGCTCTCTCTTCAGGCCTGGGCAATGATCAGGTAGCCCTTGCTCTGATCATGCACAAGGTCTCCCTTTTTGCATCCCAGGCTAAGGGCCTTGTTCCGGCAAGTTAGGAATCCGGGTTTTCCACGGTACATCCCAGCCTCGGCCACTGTCTCGGCTTTCTTGTAAACTTCGTACCTGCCGAAACTCTGCTGACAGCCCTTGCCAAGGCCCTCGAACGAGTTCTCCTATACCCTCAAACAGCAGCAGAGGCGGCTCAGAGGCGGTTCCAGGGGGCGCCCACAGGATCTGTGAGAGGCTTTCCCCCGCCGACTTTCTGCACCGCCGCCACATCGGCGCGGCAGGGTCGTGCCCTGCTGTCCTTTATTGGCCCGCCTCTCCCTCTCGCCCTGGGGCCGAACCACTGAGCCTATCGCCTTGGGAATGAAAAGAGTCCCACATGCTGCTGCAGACACAGCAGCAAGAGCAGCGTGCAGCGACGGTAGCGGCAACGGCCACAGGCCGCAAAAGCACCGTCCGCACCAAAACCAGTAGATACACTCAAACGAGATAGCTGAGAGATCAATGCTTTTTGTGAATGCACTCAAACCTCGCAGCAAAGGCGCACGCCGCTTAATATTGCTGGCCGCTCCTGTGGGTACTCGCTCACCCCTTCGTCTTGAACAAATGTGACATCTATCCATTAATATAGCTATCTATCCATCTGTCTATCAGTCTACTACTCATCATCACATACATACATACATACATACATACATGCAAAGCAGAAATACACATTTACATGCATCATACATACATACATACATGCATACGTACATACTTACATACATACCTACCGACCTACCTACTTGCATACGGACAGGCAGGCAGAAAGATATATAGCCAGCAAGCCAGCCAGACAGATACACAGACAGACAGACGGAACGAGAGACAGACAGAACAGAACGAGAAAGAAAGAGCGAGACAAACACCAGTCAGATAGACAGCCAGGCTGGCAGGCAGACAAACATTTGTAATTCATATATACATGCACACCTCCGCTCGTTTGAACTGCTTGAGGAAATAGCTTTGATGGCTATTACACACAGCCATTCCCATGACATCTCCTGACAAAGTTTCCGTTTCTACTCACTGACAATCGTGCTCCTCTGGGTCTTGCCCCGATGTGCGACGTAATGAGTTGAAGCGATGTGCTCCGGTGAAACCCGATTTACTGGATTGGGAGGGTGGGCCAGTTGGATGGAGTTGCAATTTGCTGGAAAACACATGAGGTGTTCTGCCGGCATAAATGCCCAGAACATGTTGCAATACTGACAAAATGGACTTCAAAGAGAAACATTGCCTTTACTTGCCTGCCTGCTTGCTTGATCTGTACCCCATCTTACAT